TGTATGATTGGATATACGGCAGCATGAGAACGGCCCGCCGCAAGCACTCCAGGTTCCACGCACGACCGCGCCTGCATATGTCAGTTGCCATGCTGTGCCAAAACGCGTGTCTGTACATTAGTTTCGAGCGTTGTCTCAGGATGGCTTTTGTGGAATGTGATCAGCAAGGGAATTGAACGTGATTCTTGCCCATCTGTGAGTGCGGCGGCTCAGGCTGACATGGAGGTCGACGAGGACGGGGACATGTCCCACTCGCGGGGCAGATTTTGTTTTGCCAGTAATCTTGTTCCACCCAGCATCTGACATCCAGCCGTGTCCAGAAGCGACGGCGCGTGTCTCGGTTGTTAAGCAGTCGAGGTGCAAGACAATCGTACGGGGATGGAGGGAATGAGGGAAGGAAGGGACGGAAGTATGATAAGAGGGGAGCACTTGGAAAGGAGGGGGGGGTGCATGGAGTCGAGGGAGAGACAACACATCAACATATCATATAATGAAGGAGAGATGTTCGTAAATGGATGTGGCATGCCCGTGACCTTCTGCACAGGGGGGGTGCCAAGCTCTCCAAAGGATCGAAGGCCAAGAAAAGAGGATCGAGGACGTCTCTTGACGATTCCTTTGAAAGCTCTGGGGGGCTTGGGGGGTCCTGTGTGATCCTCGTCGCGTCGGTAGCGAATCCCCTAGTGGTGACCCCCCTTGGCCTTGCCGGATCCTTCCCCTATATCCCCCTCCCTTTCCTCCCTCTCCTCCCCCTTCCTGCCGCATCAGCGGCCAGAGCGCGACAGGCCCCGAAGACGGCTCCCGCCCTTGCCTTCCCTCCAATGCCCACAAGTCTGGATAGGCATAATCTCTCGGAGGTCCGCGCGGATTTCTTGGGTAGGCCCTTGACTCTCTGGCGGCGCCTCCGGTGCCGCCCCTGGCGCCTGGCGCGCCGGGGGAGGGGAGGGGGGGGGGGGTCAAGGGCCGACCCAAGAAAACTGCGCGGACCGCCACTGCCTGGTGTAAATGCCGTCGTTTCTTACTGTGAGGGCATTCGATAAGGAACAAGTGGATAAGGAACCCAGCAACTGGAAGCTGGTGGAACACCGATTGTGGTCTGGCTGGCCATGGATATCCCTCCCTCCCCCACCAGAAAAGGATTTCCCCACGGTCTGAAGCCTCCTGGGCACGTGCCGTCGGTAGCAAATCATGGGAGCCTTGTGTACGCTCGTAATTCTGTCTTAAAGAATTCGTGATCGTCGGCTAGCGCCTGCTAGTCGGTGGGATAGCGCCGTATTAGCGCTGATTAGCGTCGATCAGCGCGTCGACTAGTGTCGATGGGCGCCGATGGGCAAGAGCCAACAAGATGGTATGGGAGGCTTCCATGAGCTGCCACCACACATTCCATAACCATCGCCCCCACCGTACTCTACAGTGGAGGCCCATGCCAAGGAACACCCTGCTTGCCTACAGGGTGCCCTGGGTCTCCCGGCTTCCGATGGTCCTGGCTGTGGAGAGCGCGTCATTCCCCCACCAGAAATCAGTGGACGCCTTGGGGTCTTAGGGCTGGGCTTCTTGTGGAAGGTTTCTCGTGGAGGAGGAGGAGGAGGAGGAGGAGGAGGAGGAGGAGGAGGAGGAGGATGACGGTGAGGAGGCAGGAGGAGGAGAGGAAGAGTAGGTGAGGAGGAGGAGAGTGCGCCCCCCCTCGGCGGGCGGCGCTTCCCTTCCCGGCCTTCCCTGACGCCCCGTGGGTCCCGCAGGTAGGGCCGCCGCTCTTCCCCGCCGGCAGGGCCACCCTCGCCCTGCGCCTGCCGAGCAGGGGGCACGTGCCCTTCCTCCTCCTCCTCCTCCTCCTCCTCTCTCCTCCTCCCTCCTCCCTCCTCCTCCTCCTCCTCCTCCTCCTCCTCCTCCTCCTCCTCCCCCCCTCCTCCTCCTCCTCCCCCCGCCTCTCCTCCTCCTCCTCCTCCTCCTCCTCCTCCTCCTCCTCCTCCTCCTCCTCCTCCGCTCCCCCGAGCGGCCCGCTTCAGGATCCCGAGCGGACCGATTTCGCAGGCGCTCGAAGCGCGGTTGCGCCTCCTCTCTCGTCGGCACAAGGCTATCGCGGCTGCCTGGGATGTGTGCAGGACGGGGCCTGGATGGTTCGTCCCAGGCTGGCTGCCCTGGGGAGTGAAGAGAGGAGTCGCACAACTTTTACATACAATCTTGTATGTGCGTCAGAAAAAAAAGGATCCCGAGCGGACCGATTAGGGGGCCACCTGCGAACCCGACCCCTACCCTACACCCCACGGTTTCTGAGAGGGAGGGGGTGGGGTTCACTGCGCTCGGGAGCTCCCGAGCGAAGTGAGCCCCACCCGCCCCCTCAGAAACCGTGGGGGGCAGGGGCAGGGTTCGCAGGTGCCCCCCTACCGATTCACGCGGTGGCCCCCGTCATTCCGTTCTGGGAGCAAGCGTCGGCGTCGGTTCGCGTCTGGGGATCGATGGGGCAGCGCCGACTCCGCGCCGATCAGCGTCGGTCAGCGTCGATCTAGCGTCCAGTCGCGTTCCTCCTCCTCCTCCTCCTCCTTTTCCTGTTCCTCCTCCTTCTCCTCCTCCTCCTCCTCCTCCTCCTTCTCGTCCTCCTTCTCCTCCTCCTCCTCCTCCTCCTCCTCCTCCTCCTCATCATCCTCACCCTCATCCTCACCCTCATCCTCATCCGCAAGCCTCATCCTCATCCTCTCACTCCTCCCCCTCCTCCTTCTCCTCCTCCTTCTCCTCCTCCTCCTCCTCCTCCTCCTCCTCCTCCTCCTCCTCCTCCTCCTCCTCCTCCTCCTCCCCCTGCTCCTTCGACTGGCAAGAACGAGCAAGATGGTACGGGAGGCGACAATGGGTTGCCGCAGAAGGCTCAGGATCTTTCTCTGTCGCAGGCCCAGGCTCGGGATTGGAGATCGCTCCAGGGCGTGCTGGAGCTCGGGTTCAGTCGGGCGTGTCCCTCGACAGGAGGAGTAGTCAGAAATGGTCAATAAATAGTCGGGGGACGATTTTTCGACTACATCAACAAGATCAGCGCCCACCCAACAACATCCGCGCGCAGCTCCGACACTTTTTTGTGCTCATGTTCTTTTGTTTGTTTTCTGCTTGTTTTTTGTTGCTCTAGGAACGCTCTTTCACATGCCCTCCCCCGCTCCTCCTCCTCCTCCTCCGCCTCCTCCTCCTCCTCCTCCTCCTCCCCGTCCTCCTCCTCCTCCTCCTCCTCCTCCTCCTCCTCCTCCCCCCCTCTCCTCCGCCCACCTCCGGCTGCTGCTGCTGCTGCTCTTCTCCTCCTCCTCCTCCTCCTCCTCCTCCTCCTCCTCCTCCTCCTCCTCGGGATGAGTTTAATGGGGAGGGGGGGATGGGGGATGCACCCCTCCCCCCCCTCCCCCCGCCCCCCCAAGAGCCAGCCACCAGCAGGCCCCGCCGCCCCCCCCCGCCCCTGCCCCCCCTCCGCCCGTCTTCTGCTCCCTTCCCCCTCCTCCTCTCCAGGGGGGCAGGGGCACCGCCCCTCCTCCTCCCCTCCTTCCGCTCCTCCTCCTCCTCCTCCTCCTCCGTCCTCCTCCTCCTCCTGCCTCATCCTCCTCCTCTCCGCCTCCTCCTCCTCCCGCTCCTCCTCCGCCTCCTCCTCCTCCCGCTTCCCCTCCCTGCGCCCCTGAGCCCTGCCGCCCCCCCCCCGCCCCGCCCCCTCTGCCTCCCCCGCCCCGCCTTCCTCGGGCGCCCCCCTGGGGAGCTCTCCCGAGGAGGCTCCCGAAGGAACTCCCTGGGAGGCTTTCTGGTGGCTCCCGCAGCCACTCCATCGTGGGATGCTCCCCGAAGGCTCCCCGAGCCACTCCATGGGAGGCGCCCTGGAGGCTCCCGAAGCCACTCCATGGGCGGCTTCTTGGAGGTTCCTGGCTCGGGCCCGCGCCAGCCCCCCCCAAAAGGACGGGACAACCACTCCGACCCCCACGGCTGGAGGAGAATGAGGCTGGTGGTGGTGGTGGTGGTGGTGGTGGTGGTGGTGGTGCTGCTGCTGCTGCTGCTGCTGCTGCTGCTGCTGCTGCTGCTGCTGCGGCGGCTGGTGCTGTTGTTGCTGCTGCTGCTGCTGCTGCTGCTGCTGCTTCTGCTGCTGCTGCTGCTGCTGCTGCTGCTGCTGCTGCTGCTGCTGCTGCTTGTTCCCCACTGGCTGCAAACATGCTCATGTCTCGCTGCTCTTTTTGCAGGTCCTGTCCCAAGCGTGGCAGCTGGTGTGACGTGTGCTCCCGCGCCGACCGTTGCATCATGAGCGCCACGCGTCTCCGCTGCGCGGCCCTGGGCGTGCACCTGCAGGGCTCTGCCCCCAGGGGCTATGTGGGCGAAGCGCATGGCCGCATTATCACAGCCTGGCGGGCCCGGCCTTGGGCCGTGACCCTGCGGCTACGGGTCGCTCCTTCGCGGATGCCCCATGCGCGACCGCGAATTTGCGGGATCGCGCCCGGGAATCCAGACCGTCGCCGGAGGAGGAGGAGGAAGAGGAGGAGGAGGAGGAGGAGGAGGAGGAGGAGGAGGAAGAGAAGGAGGAAGAGGAGGAGGAGGAGGAGGAGGAGGAGGAGGAGGAGGAGGAGGAGGAGGAGGAGGAGAGGAGGAGGAGGAGGAGGAGGAGGAGGAAGGAGGAGGAGGAGAGGAGCAGGAGGGAGGAGGAGGAGGAGGAGCAGGAGGAGGAGGAAGAGGAGGAGGAGGGGGAGAGGGGGAGGAGGAGGAGGGCGTGGACATGGATACGTTCGCCGGTCGTGAGGGGTGCTCAGCATCTTCTGAGTTTCGTCTGCCACACCTCCGCTCTCCAGCGGCCGTTCGGGACGCTCCGGGCACCCCCGGGACGCTCTCGGCGAGGCGCAGCTGCTGGAGAGCACCCCCAGGCTGGAACCCAAACAGAACCGACCAACTCGTCCGAAGACCTCGCCCCTCGAAGCTTCGATGTCCCCGAGCGTCGTTTCGTCCGCCCTCCCCGCGGCCTTCCCGGCCCTCCTGGTCGGGCGATCGCGCGGCCTCTCGCGCAGGAGCCGGCCGTCTCCAAGAAGCCGGCCGGCGCCGCCGAGGGCAAGGAGGAGGAGGAGGAGGAGGACGAAGCATCGGCGGCGAGCAAAGCCCAGCCCATTCTTTTCGGCCACGCGCAGAGGGGGGTATGGGGGAGGGGAGAAGGCTTCTTAGAAATTGGAGTGCCAAACCTACCTGCTCCTAGAAGACCAGCATCTGGGGCCGATGCCAAATACCGTTCTCACATCCTAGCCACAAGCGTCTATGGACACATTGGGTGCCGTGACGTCCATAGACACTTTCGGGGTGGAGAAATCTGTGGACAACGTGGCCGTTGCGTTCGGCGCGATGCAAGGTCGGAGAAAGGGTAGATCTGTCTACGGTATGTTCCTGTTTTGGAGCAGGTCCCACATGGTGCTCCAACTCAGAATCACCCCTGATTCTTAGAAGGTGTGGGCCTTCTCAGTAGAGGTAAGGCAGGCGCCTTCTAAGAAGCAGCTTCCTTCTAAGAGGCCTCCCCCTCCCCCTGCCCCCCTCTGCGCGCCGCCAATCTTCTCTTCCTCCTGAAGCCCCGCGGAGCTCCGCGCGGATTTCCCGGATCTGCGCCAGGGCTCCCGAAACGGCTCGAGCGCCAATCAGTGTTCTGGCGATTCTGTGGGCCATTTTCGCTCTCAGCTCTGCGTCAGAGGCAGGACGAAGACAGAACGAGGGGCCACGAAAACAGCACGAAAACGGCTCGAGCCAATCAATGTTGTGGCGATTCTGTGGACCGTTTTTGTTCTAAGCTCTGCGTCAGAGGCAGGACGAAGGCAGAACGAGGGACCACGAAAACGAAACGAGAAAGGAAAACAGAACGAGGGACCACGAAGACAGAACGAGGGACCACGAAGACAGAGCGAGGGACCACGAAAACCACGTCCCAGGCTTTTTGCGTCAGGAGGCAGGACGAGGGCAGAACGAGGGGCCACGAGAACAAGAAACGAAAAGCATAAAAACACCGTCTGGCTCGAGCCCTGCGCCCGAAGCTGCGGACAGCTCCGCGCGGACCTCTCTCTCTGGGACCTGCGCCGGGGCCTCCTTGGCTCGGCGCCCGGCGGCGCCTCCCGGGGCACCGCCGAGCGCCCGCCAGGCAGAGGTTTCTTCAGCGCAGAGTCTCCAAGAGTGCTTCGAGTTTCGTGCTTCTGATTCTCCTCTTCTTCGGGTGACGAAATCCCCAGAATCCAAGAGTTCTTCGAATTTCGTAATTCTACTTCCTCTTCTTCTTCGTTCTCCAAGAGTTCTCCAGAATCCCCTCGGGTGACGACATCTCGGGTGACGACATCTTGGGTGACGTTCCCCACCCCTCCCCTCGGGTGACGACATCTATCCCCACCCCTCTCCTCGGGTGACGAGTTTCGTGCTTGTGATTCTCCTCTTCTAATTCCCCACCCCTCCCCCTCGGGTGACGACGTATCTCTGACACGTCCACTGCTCCCCTGCCAGGCCCATGCCGAGCCCGGGGGCTGCGGAGGCGCCCTCCCCGACCAGGCCAGAGGCGGGCGTGGCGCACGCACCGCTGCCGGGGGCGAAGGCCGGGCCCGGCCGGGGCGCCGCGAGGGCAGGTGCAGACCCCGCCGCCCTGCGCCTCCCGGCAAAAAGGGGGGGCCGCCAGGGGTATGGCGCGGCCTCCGTTCGCGCCCGGATGGCGGGCAGGTCTCCGGCGGTTGGCCCATTTTGGTCCCCAGCGTCCTCCGCTCTCGGAGCAGATGTGGAGGAGGGGCCGCGGCCCGCGGGCCGCGAGGGAGTCTTCGAGGGGGGGGGGGCCGTCTGCGGAATGGATTTGCCCCAGGATTGATTTGTTCACCGAGTCCCTGAAGGATTCGTGGGATCCTCGCAGGTCTGCAGGCATTCTACTACGTACGACTCGACTCGACTCGACTTGTCCGCCGGATTCCTGGAAGATGCGTAGGATCTTCGTAGGTCTACAGGCATTCTTCGTAGGACTCGACGAGGACAAATGTTGGGGTGCGTCAATTCTGTAGGCGATCCCCGTGCTCGAAGTTTAGCGCTAAGGAGCAGCAGCCCGGGATTCGTCAGGCCCTCTGCCGACTCGAAGCTCTGCGCAGGAAGCTCGATTCATCGAAGGGGATGTGGGAGCGGGATACGATGGGGGCGTTCGTTAAGGAATGTGCCCAGGAGGCTTCAGACCTGGGAGGGTTCCTTATCCGATGAGGGCGGCGGAGATATCCATGGACAATCCACGATTGGGATTCCACCGGCTTCCAGACCCTGGGTTCCTTATCCAGTGGTTCCTTATCCCTCTACCGCCGACATCGTGATTTTTTTCACGAAGTTGACCCCCAGATGTCTCGACCCATTCCCCGGGACCAGTTGTTTTGCCCCGACTCGATTTGTGAGGGCCCCGGGCCCCAGTAAGGGCCTCAGAGGCCGAAGATAGCGGAAAACCTACCGCTGTGTTTCTCATAACGCGAGGGGGTCTTGTATGGTTCCTTATCTGGTGCCCCCACCGTATCTGGAGGTCACTCTCTTTTTGAGCTTCGCGGATACACCTGCTAAAGGCTCCTCCTCCCTTGGGAAGGGAAATTGGCGTTGCTAGCCCTCTGGACTGGAGCCAAATGTTCTGCGTCAGAGCCGGAATGACAACAATGACCATCCCACCTGCCTACCCCATAGCTCCGCGTACGCTCGGGCTGGCTAGTCTTACCAGCTGTCCGAAAGATTTGCTAAGTATCTATGCCGAGAAATCCTCACGCATGGCAGTTTCCTCTTGGCCTGCTGCAAGATGCTACTTTGAGGGTTCAGGCTCTCTCTTGGGGCCTCCCCGGAGGCCTCCGGGGGCCTGCAAGTGGAGCCACCCCCAAGACAGCCCGAGGCCTCTCGCCTCGCTGGCGCCCTGGGGGAGGGGCCGCGCCGAACGTCTCTCTCGCAAGCTTCAGGTCGGCAGGAGGAGGAGGAGGAGGAGGAGGAGGAGGAGGAGGAGGAGGAGGAGGAGGAGGAGAGGAGGAGGAGGAGGGGAGGGGGAAGAGGAGGAGGAGGAGGAGGAGGAGGAGGAAGAGGAGGAGGAGGAGGAGGAGGAGGAAAAGGAGGAGGAGGGGGAGGAGGAGGAGACGGAGGAGAAGGGGGAAGAGGAAGAGGAGGAGGAGGTGGAGGAGGAGGAGGAGGAGGAAGAGGAGGAGGAGGAGGAGGAGGACGAGGACAAGTAACATTAATAATAATAATCATGATAATACTAAGAATAATACGAATATTCTGAATACTAGTAATCATGATACTACTACTACTACTACTGCTGCTACTACTACTACTACTACTACTACTACTACTACTACTACTACTACTACTACTACTAGTACTACTACTACTACTACTAATAATAACAATGATAATAATACTAATAATAATAATACTACTAGCATTACTAACACTACTACTCGGAATACTAATCATAATAATAATAAGTATTAGAATAATAATAATGATACTAATACTGCTCATAATACTAATGATAATAATCATAATGATAATAATAATAATATCAACACTACTACTACTATAATATTACTAATGATGCTACTACTATTAATAATAGTAATAGTAGTAATAATACTAATACTAATACTAATACTATTCATACTAACAACACTAATACTAACAATAATACTATCAATACTAACAATACTACTAATTATACTAATATTAACAATAATAATATCAATGACAATAATATTAATACGAATAAGAATACTACTACTACTAATATATGTGATATTACTACTAATAATAAGAGCACGAACAATACGAATATTAACACGAACAAGAATAATCACACGAAAACTACTAATAATACACACAATAATAATCATAATAATAAGTGGAGGAGGAGGAGGAGGAGCAGGAGGAGGAAGAGGAGGAGGAGGAGGAGGAGGAAGAGGAGGAGGAGGAGGAGGAGGAGAAGAAGAAGAAGAAGAGGAGGAGGAGGAGGAGAAGCAGAAGGAGGAGGAGGATGAGGAGGAAGAGGAGGAGGAGGAGGTGGAGGAGGAGGAGGAGGAGCAGGAGGAGGAGGAGCAGGAGGCGGAGCAGGAGGAGGAGGAAGAGGAGGAGGAGGAGGAGGAGGAGAAGGAGGAAGGAGGAGGAGGAGGAGGAGTAGGAGGAGGAGGAGGAGGAGGAGGAGGATGATGATGATGATGATGAGGCAGGAGAGGGACGTCGGCATCGGTGGGTCCAGGGCTTCCGAAGGCGGCGGAGTTGGGTTGTCGGAGGTCTGGGCAGCGGGCCTCGCGCGGAGGGGCTGCTTCTCTGGAGGGGCCGCCCCCCTCCAAGGCCAGCCGCCGCACGCCTTCTGCGGGAGGCCTCCTCCTCCTCCTCCTCCTGCTCCTCCTCCTCCTCCTCCTTATCCCCTTCCTCCTCCTGCTCCTCCCCCTCCTCCTCCTCCTCCTCCTCCTCTTCCTCCTCCTCCTCCTCCTCCTGCTCCTCCTCCTGCTCCTCCTCCTCCTCCTTCTCCTCCTCCTTCCTGCCGTCCTGGGCCGGTTCCACCGCCGCGGGGGCCCGACCCCGCGGGCGGCACTGGGCGGGCGGGCCTCCCGTGGAGGCTGCTTCCAGAGGGGTCGCTCCCCCGCAGGTCGGCGGCCAGCCGCCCCCACGCCCTCTGCGAGGCGAGGGGGCTTCCGCAGAGCGCCGCCCCCCTCGGCCCTGCCTGCCTCCCTTGGCGCGCCGCCCGGAGGAGGAAGACCCCGAGGACGAGTTCGACGAGGACGACGACGACGAGGAGGAGGCGCCCGCGCCTCTCGTTCTGTCGGAGAAGAAACAAAAGGCGGCGTGCACGCGAGCTTTCGGAGCTCCGCGCGGACCTCCGACAGTTTATACGTGCATGCAGTTTTTTCTTCTTCTGTTCTGAGGGGAGGGCGGTGCAGGGCTGCTGGGGCGGCGGTGCCGGGCTGTAGTGTCTTCGGGTCGGAGCCATACTCTTCGTCTCGCTCTGGAGGTCATCTGCACTGCTCTGATACTGTCACGTATGCGTCAGCGTGGCTCGCGAGAGTCCGTCCGTGGCTCCGTATGGGGGCTTGCTGTTGAGGTCTGGTGTGTGGGCGCGCGCGCCGCTTCGTGGTGGCGGCGCGCAGGCATCGTATTTTTTTCGCTTCGTCGCCAGCGCGGGCAACACACTCCCATAAGCAAAGGCGTAATGAAACGCGCAAGCACAGGCAACGGCACAACCATAAGTATAGTCACTAGCGCGATCTTCATCACAATCACAAGCAAACGCACACGCATACATGTGCCAATGAGAACGAACGTGTCAGGCCCGTACGCTGCACGTAAGTCGTTCAATGCCACTCAGCTGGCCAACTTTCTGACGTTCTTATCAAGACGGGCCAGGACATGGGGTAGCAGCAGCTACCAGAAAAGGCGATGGTGGCAAGCCTGGCAACACAAAGCGCGCAGCGGACAAACTCAGAAGCACGCATAGCGCGCGCTCCGCTGCAACAGCGCACGCAAGCGCAACCACAAACACGAACCCACACTCACAGTCACAACCACAAGCGCAAGCACAAGCACAATCCCACACAAGCGCAACCACAACCGCAGCCACGAGCAGAGAAGCAAGCGCAAACGACAAACGCAACCAGCATGATACTCCTAAAGCAACTTGCGCACCACAGAGACACACACAGCTACAACGAGACGTACAGTGCGAGCGGCCATGGAGGACTCGCTCGCACCCCCGCCCAGGCACGCATTTTTCCAACGTCGCGTTGGGAAGGGCACCGCGGGTCAAACTGCAACGGGGCCGAGAAAAACTAAGTTCAAGGCAGCGTGCACCAGCCCGGGAATTCTTGATCAGAGGCGGATCCTTCCGCGCACGCACGCCTGCATATGCCCACGCGCGCATGCCCATGCTCCCGCCCGCGCGCAGGCGCCCAATCACCGACGCCCACACCCGCACGCGCACGAACGTCTGCGTCGGCGGCCAGGCAGAAGTGACTGCGCTGGCGGACAGGGCATTGGTAGGGCACACGAACGCGAAGAAAGCCGCGATGCACGAGGGGGAGCGGAGGAGGCGCCCGCCGTTGGCGCGAGGGACCCTCGCGCACAAACGCACTCGCGCGCAGACGCGCGCGCCCGCGCACGCGCGCACATGACTCCTCTGTCCGACGCGAGCATACGTGCCGAGCCCGCCTGCCTGCGGCGCCGCGGGCGCGGCGAGCGCGGGAGCCGTGGCGACGCCCTGCGCCCCCCGCTCGCAGGCGTGCGCGCGAGAGGAACACCACTAGGAGGCCACATGCGCAAGTCGTGCGCCAGCCGAACACCAACAGGACGAATTATGTAAGAGCATGTTAGCCAGTATGGACCCCACATTGTGCTTTTCTTGCAACACGGCTCGTGCAATCTATGTGGCGCAAACTATGTTGTAGAATCTATGTAGTGCTATTTATGTAGTGCAATACATGTGGTGCATTGGTGGTTGTGCAATACCTGTTGTGTAACATATGTGCTGCCATCTGTTTGCACAACATATGTTGTGCAAACTATTGGGTGCAATGTGTGTGATGCTGATTAGGTGGTGCAAGACATGTGGTTCCATACACGTATACATATACATACATACATGTATATTTATATATGTATGTATATATTGAGCAATTTAGGCCCGCAGCTTGGTTTGCAAAACCATGTGACGGAGATTGCGATGAGTGCTTGGCGTTGGCTGGTGCATCTCTGCGGCTGCGCTAGCCGGTGCATGCTCGCGCGTGCGGCGGCCAGCTAGTTTGGCGCGACCGACGCGGCCGCGGTGGCGCTGACCTCTGGCACTTCCAGCGGCCACTTCAGTGCGAGTCGGTGACGTGGGCGGGCGCGTTATCATGGCGACGCCGACAAGGGTAGACACGATGATGAGAGTAGCGACGGTGGTGACGATATTGGCAACGGCGACGGCAAGGTCAATGACGGTGCCGATGTTGACCACGCCCGCCGATAATGCGACGTTGACAATGTCCTCGCGTCGGTGATGAAGATTTTGGAGGGAGTTCGACATTCGCGCGCGGCCGACGCGCACGAGTGGCCCTTGTGGTATTATTTGGCACAGATCGTGCCCCCCCGGTACGCGCGCAAGGGCGTTCGGATGGTTTCGATGTGCGGCGCGAGAGCCCCGTTTGGCAGAATGGGGTGGCGCTGTTGAAAATCCCAGGATGTTGTTTAACATTCGCCAGCGCGCGCAGGCATTTCCTGATGATGTTGCCAAACCATTGTTAAATCCATGCGACACCTCAGGTTTCTGAAGGATCTGGGCATGCGCGCGCGACGACGCGCGCGTGCTCTTTCTTGCAAGGGATGTTTGCGACAGCACGCGCTTCAAGGGCGTTCGAGCGAATTCGACATGCGCGCCTGCAGGTCCGATTTGGTAGCATTTTATGAACATGTTGGAATCAGTATGGTTATCTCAAGAATTTCGCAGTAGCTCGAGCGCAGGCGATTTGCAATCCATTGTTGAGAAGGCATTCGAAAGGTTTAGGGACACTCGATTTTGAAATCCTTGCGACACCCGAGATTTTTGAGTGATTTCGGCATGCGCGCCCGGCGACGCGCGCGTGTGCACTTCGTCCTGTTCTTTGTTTGTTGCAACGGGCAATTGACGCTGGTGGTTTTTGATCAACGAGTGCGCGCGCTGTTTTTTTGCAGCGGATTAAAGGGGGGGGCGAGACCGGCCAGGCTGGGATGGTATGCGTTCACATTCAGGATGGGCGATGTGGCATATACATATATAATCTACAGTACGAAAAGGGGTGCAGTTAAGTCTGGGGGGAGGAAGATCCAAATTTTGTTTTGAAGAAAAGAGAACTCACTTGTGGAAGTCGCAGTTGTCAGCTCCAATGCTCGCGCAATCATCCCACCCACCCACCCGCAACTTGTTTTGCAAAACGCATGCGGCGGCGGTTGCCGTGAGCGCTTGGTGTTGGCTGGTGCATGTCTGCGGCCGCGCTAGCCGCGTGCTCGCGCGCGCAGCGGCCAGCTAGTTTGGCGCGGCCGATGCGGCCGCGGTGGCGTTGACTTTGGGACACTTCCCAGCGGGCACTTCGGTGCGAATCGGCCACTTGGGCAGGCGCGCTATCATGGCGACGTCGACAGCGGTAGACGCGATGATGATAGTGGCGACGATGGTGACGATACTGGCAACGGCGACGGCGCGGCCAGTGACGGCGCCGATGCTGATCACGCCGACGACGATGACGGCGTCCTCTCGTCGGGGATGAAGGTTTCGGAAAGAGTTCGACATGCGCGCGCGGCCGACGTGCGCAAGTGGCTCGCGTGGTTCTATTTGACACCGATCGTGCCCCCCCCCCAGCACGCGCGCAAGGGCGTTCGAATGATGTCGACATGCGGCGCGAGAGGCCCGTTTGGCCGAATTTAACGAAACCAGCGACAAACTTCTGATATCGTGGATAATCCGCATGAGCGCGAGCGCCTTTTTCTTGTTTTCAAACGCCCTGGTTGAGAAACCATGATTTGTTTTCGGGGCAGTCGAATCTGAAACCCTTGCGAAACCAATGGATTTTGCAGGATTTGGGCGCGCGCGACGATGCTCGCGTGTGTGCATGTCGGCCGGTTTTTTAACGCGAGGACGTTTGAACGATTTCGACATGCGCGCCTGCGAGGCCCGTTCGGTTGCATTCCATGAACATGCTGAATCCAATTCATGCTTTCTTAAGAATCCGCAAGAGCGCGGGAGCAGTTATTTTGTTGGAAAACCTTTGTTGAGAGACCATCTGTTTTTTTGTGGCTGTGGGCTGGTGCACTCGATTTTGAAATCCTTACGGGACCGAAGGTTTTTGAATGATTTTGGCATGCGCTCCCGACAATGCGCGCGCGTGCACATCGTTTTTTTTGCATGGGATTCTTGAAAACGGATGATTTGTTATACACGGGTGTGCGCGCATGATTTTTCTTGCAGAGGATGAGGGGGTGGGGGCGGCGATGCCGGCCGGGCTGGGATGGTGCGAGTAAATTGCAGTACGAAAAGGGCAGTGTTAAGTCCGAGCCAGGGAGTTATTTGCTAATTTTCTTTTGGGCAAGGGAGACTTCACTTGTGGAACTCGCAGTTGTCAGCTCCACTGCTCGCGCAATCATCCCACCCACCCACCCGCAACTTGTTTTGCAAAACGCATGCGACGGCGGTTGCAATGGGTGCTTTGTGTTGGCTGGTGCATCCCTGCGGCCGCGCTAGCCCTGACATGCTCGCGCGCGCAGCGGCCAGCTAGTTTGGAGCGGCCGACGCGGCCGCGGTGGCGCGGACCTCAGGGCATTTCCCAGCGGGCACTTCGGTGCGAATCGGCCAGTTGGGCAGGCGCGGTATCATGGCAACATCGACGAATTCACACGATGATGATCGTAGCGACGATGGTGATGATACTGGCGCCGGCGACGGCGCGGCCAGTGACGACGCCGATGCTGATTACGCCGACGACGATGACGTCGCCTTCGCGTCGGTGATGAAGGTTTTGGACGGAGTTCGACATGCGCGCGCGGCCGACGCGCGAGGGTGGCCCGCAGAGTAATATCTGACACGGATCGTGCCCCCCAGCACGCGCGCAAGGGCGTTCGCATGATGTCGACATGCGGCGCGAAAAGGGCTGTTTGGCATTTTTTCAAAAAACAGATAGTTATTATAGTATATATAACATATAAACAATAAATATTTTAATATATATGTATACTTAGAAACGTGCAACAACCTGCAAGAGCGCGATCGGATGTTTTGTTGTTTGAGAACCCTCGTTGAGAAACCATGTGTTCTAAATTAATGTTTTCGGGGCGCTCGCATTTGGAATTCCTTACGAAACCAATGTCTATTTGGCAGGATTTGGGCATGCGCGCGCGACGACGCGCGCGTGTATTTCGTCTGGTTTTTTGCAATGGGTTCTTGCGACAACATGCGCGCAAAGGGCGTTCGAACGATTTCGACATGCGCGCGCGGAAGGCCCATTTGGTAACAATTTATGAGCAGGGTGAACAACATCGGCTATCTTAAGAATTCACAATATCGCGGGCGACTTCTTTTTGTTATTGAAAAATGTTGCAGCGGAGCAATTTTTATGATCTATTTTTATATGTTCGATTTTGAAACCGTTGCGAAACCTAGGTTTTTTTTGTGGGGGGGTAAAAAATTTCGGCATCCGCGCGCGGCGACGCACGCGTGTGCACTTCTTTCCTGTTCCTGCAAGGGACTCGTGAAAACGGATGGTTCTTGATCGACGAGTGTGCGCGCATAGTGCCCCCTGCATATGATGAGGCGGGGTAACCGATTCGTGCCGGACTGGGACGGTATAAGTTCAAAGTTCGGATGGACGATGTGGCAGAATCGTGTGCAAACTGCAATACGGAAAGGTGTGCTGTTAACCCCGGGGGGAGATCCTAATACTCTTTGAGAAAGGAGAAAACATGGGCGGCGACGATGCGGCGACGGGGCGGTGACGGCGAGCACGGACCCGCCAGACTGCCAGCCAGACCCAGACGACGGGCGGCGACGAGACGGCGACGGTGCGGCGACTTCGAGCACGGAACCGCCAGACCGCTAGCCATGCACAGCTCTTCTGAAGAGAAGTGAGAACCCCTCAGTGCAAACATTGTTTGGGGAACAAGAAAGAGCCCCTGAGTGCAATCACTGCTCGGAGATACAGGAGTAGCACGCAAGCATCAGATTCATCGTCGCCGTCGTTGTCGTCCTCTTCCTGTCACTTCCTCGTTCCCTCATCCTTCTCCTGTGTGACGGTGCCCTTCCCCTCCCCCCCTCCCACCTCTGCCCGCTCTCCCAGGACCCTCTGCTCGCAAGAGTCCCCCCCCCCTCGACTTGGCGGTTACGGCGGTGTGCGCACCGCGCGCTGCGAGTGCGGAGCCTCGGCTGGCAGACTGTGCGCAGGTTTCCGTGTGCGATCTCGGCCCCACGTCTGCCCTGGGTGCATGTGGAACTCTCCTCCTCCTCCTCACGTTTGCGGTTCGGGCGGGCTGGGCGGCTGCTTGCCTTCACTCGTTGCGCCTCGTAGCTTTTGCGGCCCGTGCCTCTCCCCGTCCTCACATCTGATTCGCTCGTTCGCATCCTGGCTGCCGCATCTGGCGCACTGCGCGGGCACGCGGGACAGGCAGCGTGTCAAAATCCCAAGCGCAGCGAAATTGTGCTTAGTTTCTTCTTTGGGCCGTCGTGGGACCGCGATACCGCCCGTCGGGTTTCGAATCCGCACTCTTGCCTTTTTTCGCGGTATCGCTCTTTACCAATTCCTCATTTTCCTGCTTGTTTCACTCCTTCGCTCTCTTCCCATTTGTCATTTAATTTCACGCCTTCCAAGGAGGAAGAGGACGAAGATGGCGAGGAAGAGGAGGCTCCGGCGACCAAGAAGCCGGCTGCGGCCGATATGGAGGTTGAAGAGGAGGACGCAGAGGACATTGGAGCCAATGCAGTGTCATGATTGGGGACCAGGAGCAGTAACACGAGGGTGCATGAAGCTTGAGGGAGCAAGAACATGAGAAGAAGAGGATCATGACAATGGTGTTGACGACGGTACAGATGAAGACGTCGGTGATGGCCTTGTTCGCACGCGATGGTGACGATGATGACGACTATGATGTGTACGTGGGGATGGAAACGCGACTGCCCCCAATGACCAGTACGACCCCAGCACTGGGGCAGAAAGCACCCGCTTCCTTCCACTGTGCTCGGGGTGGCCCATGCCATCGGTGGGCCCTCGTCTTCCTCCTCCTTCGCCCTCCTGCTCCTCGTCCTCGTAGGCCTGGTCGTGGGGCCGCAGCGGGGTCTTGTCGCAGTCTTACGCGCCAGTCGGGGATGGCAAGGTTGAGGTGCTCCCCGTGGACGGAAGCGTTGCCTGCCTCGTGCGCAAGTTGTATTATCAGGGTCTTCGCGACGCCGAAATACAGAGCCGCATTGCGAAGGGATGGGGGCCTTCGGCAAATTCAAGGCAGTGCTTGGGTAATGAACTTTACTTGTTGCGCTCCCGGCTTCGCCTTTTTGACTCTGCGGTCTCTGCGGTCGTTTCATACGGGAGCGGCGCGTGGACCATGACGGCGGCAAGAGAATCTCAGCTCCAGGCGGCCGAATCACGGGAAATGCTTCGACAGATCATTGCTTCGCCACCGAGAAGAGCAGCCTCAGAGGGGGGAGTGGGCGAGCTGTACGTGGATTGCACTTGCCGTGCAACCCAGAAAGCAGAGGACGAGTACGAGAAGGCAGGCTTCCCGATGCGGTGCAGTCCCAACCGAGCCGCAAGGCCACTCTGTTGAGAAAGACGGTCGGCAGCACGGAGGGCAGGCGGTCGAAGGCTGTGCTGTGCACTGGGCTCCCGGGGGGGTGCCGCGCGCCAGGACGGCCTACGAGGTGCTGGACAGATGGCGTCAGCATGCAAAACTAGGGGGCCACGTGCGAACCCTACCCCTACCCCCCACGATTTCTGAGGGGGAGGGTGGGGCTCACTGCGCTCGGGAGCTCCCGAACGAATGGCACCCCACCCTCCCCCTTGGAAATCGTGGGGGGTAGGGGTAGGGTTCGCACGTGGCCCCCCGAAAACATGTGGGACCATTATGCTTGTGGGTTCCAAACCCGGATAGCAGGGCGCCAGAAGGGCGTGCGAAGGCCTCTCGAAGATCTCTGGGAAGGACCTGGAGAGAGAGCTTCTAAAGGACCTTCTGGAGAGCTTCCGGGCACGCGTATTGGGAAACGCGTAGAAGAGGCCTGCCGGAACACGCTGCTGGCTCAAGCCGGCCGCGCCGAGGTGTCTGGCCAGAAGCCGGAACGAGCTCAGGGGCTACCCTGCTGCTCCAGCTTCTTGATCTAAAACCCTTTTGGCCCTCTGCGAGCTATCCGGAAATTTCATATTGCGAGGAGCCAGATGTGGCTTCAGCATTCACGAACTGTGGGAGTATATGCTATTGCGAGAAACCAGACGCCGTCTATATAAAACCTTTTTGACTCTCTACGAGCTATCCGGAAATTTCATATTGCGAGGAGCCAGATGTGGCGTCAGCATTCACGAACTGTGGGAGTATATTCAGGAGGGAAAAAACACACAGACACAATGAATCGTCGATTTCCCAGAAAATATGGGAAAATGTGGGCAGTGGGGGGGAAGACAGAAACCCAGAAAATATGGAAAAATATGGGGAATACTTTTATTTGTGTGTATTTATTTGTGTGTCCCAGGGCCCCTTCAGAGAAGCGGGACGCCGTCAGCATGTGTACACACAGCGGCGCACCGGGTCCCCAGGGGGATCCGGGGGGCCAGGCCTTCGACTGCAAAGGTGGGGCCCGAGAAGAGCCAAAGCTAGCGATTGCGACCTACCTGAGCGAAGGTGCTGCCCGAAGATGCTCCCAGATGGCCCCGAGAGGCCCATGAGACGCTGGGCCGCGGGCTCCCGTCTCCGACTGGAGCCTCGTGTCGATCGGAGTCCTCGCAGCTGTCCCGCGGCTATCTTCTTCTGATCCTCCTGCATAAAAACACACACACAAAAGCACACACTGTGGGAACAAAAATCTCAACAAACACACACTGTGGGAAAACGCACACAAAAACCACAGGGGAAAAAAATACATGCAGACCTGCAGAGGCGGCCGTGCGTGTCGACCCTCAGACCCTGCTGTTTTCGACCTGGGGGGTGCGCACTCCATGGTCCCTCGCATCGCTGCGGTGGCACAGGTCCACAGGCGGACGTGGTTGGCTCCGCGCACCTGGCTGGAGCGTGGCGACACTCGAGGAAGAACAGGTGGCACAAACATAAGCATTCGGAGGTCCGCGCGGATTTCTCGGGTCGGCTCCAGGACCCCGCTGGCGGCGCCTCCGGCGCCACGTCTGGCGAGCTCCGCGCGCCTGTCAGAGGGTCCAGTCCCCGATCCATGATCTCCGCGCGGACATTCGAAAGTTTGCGTTTATGTCGACCTTTCTTCCAGTAGACACGTCGCGCCGAGCATGCCAGAGCGGATGCGGCCGACAGCTCCAAGGTCCACATTGGCGGTGACGACAAGGCGTCCCACCCCGCACAGCCAGGAGTCCGGCGGAGCTCCGCGGGAACTCGGCGGGACGGCCGTCGTGGAGGCGTGCGGGCTGCTGCGCGCGCCGCAGCGGCCACCACAGACGGACGAGGCTTCCACCCTCCACGCCCGCAGGGTGCCGCAGGCCCCTGGCGCACTGCCCGTGGATGCGGCACCCGCTGGTCGCAGCAGCGTCGCCCGCCGACGCAGCCCCGCCGCCGGACGCGCGCGCCCCGCCCGCGGGCGTCGGGGCAGCACTTGCTGCCGCTGGCCACGCTGACGCGCCGTGGAGCATCCAGACCAGCCACGTGCTGGGCACGGCGCGGCCCTGCCCCGAGCACGGCATCGCCTCGCTCGGGAGGCTGCTGGAGGGCACCCTCCAGTCGCCAGCTGCCTCCCCCATATCGCAAGGGCAGGCTCGGCGAGAGGGCCGGCAGCCACGGCACGCCGACATGCAGCGGCAGTTTCTCACGGTCTTCCTCCGCGAGCCCGGCTCCTACCGAGGGAGCCCCTCGCCCGCTGGACTGCTCTGCCGATTCCTCTTGGTGGTGCGGCAGGGTTGGCGCCAGGCCACGCCCGAAACGGGTCCAAGGTTCGGGCCGGGCGAAAGGGGGGGATTGGGAAAGGGGGGGTTACGAAATTTGCTGCATGCAGCTGGTTTCGGCCTCACCGAGGAGCCCATTCCTCGATACACAGCCGCCTCCGGCGCCGAGAGGCGCCGGGAAAATCAGCTACGTGAGCTGATTCTCAACCCCCCCCTTTGCTATCCCCCCCTTTCGCCCGACCCGAAAGGTGCGGGTGGCTGGGCCGCCGCCCACCTCGTGCACGTGCCGTCGCCCGCGGCTGCGCGTTGGGCTTCCAGTGCATGCCATGATCATTTCCCTCGTCGGAGGGCGCCAACTGCACATCGACACCGCTCCTGCTACCACCGCCATCATCACCACCATCATCACCACCACCATCATCACCATCATCACCATCCTCATTATCGCCATCATCATCCTCATCATCATCATCGTCACGATCCCCATCACCATCATCACCATCATCACCATCACCACCAACGTCATCACCATCATCATCAGCAGAACCAGCATCAGCATCAGCATTAGCATCAGCATCAGCACCAGCATCAGCATCATCAACCCCACCATCATCAGCATCATTATCATCATCAGCATCATCACCATCACCATCAGCAGCATCGTCAGCAGCATCATCCTCATCACTGTCACCATCATCACCGCCATCGTCATCATCGTCACCATCATCATCACCATCATCATTATCATCATCATCCCCATCATCATCGTCATCATCATCATCATCATCATCATCATCATCATCATCATGGCCAGCACCATCACCATCACCATCGCCATCACCAAAACCATCATCACCATCATCCTCATCAGTATCATCACCATCATTATCACCATACTCATCGACATCCCCATCATCATTACCGTTCTTATCCTCATTCTCATCAATCGCATGAGCACCATCATCACCATCACCACCACCATGTTCATCACCATCTGCACCACCATCACCATCACCATCACCATCACCATCACCATCACCATCACCATCACCATCACCATCACCATCACCATCACCATCATCGCCATCAGCATCACCATCATCATCGTCATCAGCATCGTCGTCATCATGAGCATCATCACCATCACCACCATCATCATCATACCCATCATCATCTTCATAGTTGCCGTCATCGTCACCAATGCCTCGTCATTGTCATCAGCATAACAATCATTATCACCATCACCATCACCATCACCATCACCAGCACCATGAACACCAACATCACCAGCAACGAATTCGTGATCATCACCATCATCATCATCATCATCATCATCATCATCATCATCATCATCATCATCACCATCACCATCATCATCAGCACCACCATGAGCATAAACATCAGCATCATCATCATCATCATTATCATCATCGCCATCGCCATTACCATCACCATCACCATCATTATCACCATCATCATCAGGATCATCATCATCATCGTCATTTTCATCATCATCATGATTGTCATCATCATCACGTCGTCACCATCATCATCCCCATACCTCCTCCTGCTCCTCCTTGTCCTTCTCCTCCTTCTCTTCTCAGTCCCTCCTTTCCCTTCTCCTCCTTCTCTTCCCTCCTCCCTTCTCCCTCCTCTCTGCTCCCCTCTCCTTGATCCCTCCTCCCTCCTTTCCCCTCTCTCTTCTCTCCTCCTCCTTCTCCCTCTTCCCGCCTTCATCCTCCTTCCTTCCGTCTCCTCCTCCTCCTCCTCCTCCTCCCCCTCCTCCTCCTCCTCCTCCTCCTCCTCCTCCTCCTCCTCCTCCTCCTCCTCCTCACTCCTCCCTTCTCGCTCCTCGCTTATCCCTCCTCCCTCCTCCCTCCTCCCTCCTTTCTTCTCCCTTCTACCTCCTTCTTCCCTGTTCACTGCTCCCTCCTCCCTACTTCCTCCTCCTCCTCCTCCTCCTCCTCCTCCTCCATCTCCGTTCTACTCCCTGGTAGACGCGGGCGCGTGAATGCCTCCTCCGTGCCGCTTTATACCGCGTCCCGCCGGCGCTGGCATGTGGCAGAGGCTGGTCGATTCGCCTGTGGTTGGCCTGGCTGTGCGTCGGGCAGTCCTCTTGAAGGGCAACGGACTCTGTACTCTCGTTCGTCTGTTTTCTCTGTCCTTCCCCAAACACCTCGTCTTGAGGGGTTTGATAGCTGTCTCGCAAGGAGGGCCAGGGGGGCTGCTGCCAGCTGTGGAATCGGTGACTCGATGGTCTCCCTTTGGTCTCCCTCATGGTCTTCCGTTTGCCTCCCGGATTCTCTCCCGCATTGCCTCCCGTGTGCTCGCTGCTCTCCTCTGGGTTCTCCCGTGTGGTGGTCTCCCGCATTCTCTCCCGCATGGTCTCCCGCATGCTGTCTCGTATCGTCTCCCGCATGGGATCCCGTAAAGTCCGAGGCTCCCGAAGGAATAGTCTCCCGCATGCGCAGTGCAGTCTCATTTTTTGCTGTTTAAATATTGTTATGATGATGATCATCATTATTATTATCGTTATGATGATGATGATGATGATGATCATTATTATTATTATTATTATTATTATTATTATAATTATTATTATTATTATCATTATCATTATTGTTATGATGATGATGATGATGATGATGATGATGATGATGATGATGATGATGATTATGATGATGATGATGATGATGATGATGATGATGATGGTGGTGGTGGTGGTGGTGGTGGTGGTGGTGGTGGTGGTGGTGATGATGATGATGATGATGATGATGATGATGATGATGATGATGTTTATGATTATTATTATTATTATTATTATTATTATTATTATTATTATGATTATTATTATTATTTTTATTTATTATTATTATTATTTTATAACTACTGTTATGATTATGCTTATAATGATAATAATAATTATTATAATCATTATTATCATTCTCATTACTCGTATTTGTCGTATTATTATTGGATTGTGCAGTCTGGGATTCTGCGCCGCCAGGCTGTGCTCTCTTCTCGGATCGCCTTCCTGCCGCTGCCCGCCCCCCCCCCCTGGTGGCCCGTGCCGCTCCTTCTCCACTCCCCGGTGCCGAGCCGCGGAGTCCGACTGGCATGGGGGCGCCCTTGCAGGTGGGGCAAGGGGCTGCAACGGGTCGTTCCCGCCAGTGAGCCAGGCGCTCGCAAGCATGGATCAAGGGGGGCGTGGATCAGCGACGGGCCCTGTTTCCAGGAGGAATCGCGGATCTCCGCTGGACGAGCGAGGCGGCACCCGCCGCATTTTGGGGAGGCCCCCCCCCTGATCCATGGATATGGCGACCGCGCGCCAAAGCCATGGATCGCTAATCCATGCTTGCGCGCCCCGGATAGTGGGTCAGAGGCTGGAGCACCAATATGAGCCAGCGCAGAGCGTAGACACCATGTTCTGCCATCATATCCGCGCGAGTGGCCAACCTGCCAAGGCCAGGAGCCTTTTATGTCAGAACCATTGTCCAGCTTCCTCTGGCGCCCTCCGTTTGTTCCCATGCTACTGCACGTCACTCTTTCGTTTTGGTCTTACGGTCTTTTTCCGCCCCAGGAAGAGGATGAGGGAGCTGTGGCCAAAAAGCCTGCTATGGCAAAGAAGCCCGCGGCGGCTGTGGCGGATGTAGAAGAAGAGGAGGCGGATGAGGTGGCGCCGCCAGTGCCGATGCCGCCGGGGGGCACTGCGATGTCACATGTAACGCTTCTCCCATAGGCGGGTTGGCGGGTTATACCTCCTAGCAGATGGAGCCTGCCAAGAGTCGCATGGCCGTCTGGGTCGAGGTCCATATGAACATCGGTTTCCCCGTGCTGCGGGTCGAGGTCCATATGAACATCGGTTTCCCAGTTCCTCGCAGGAAAGAAAGCGCGCTGCTGGCGCCACCCGCGTCGTTGTCGGTGCCATGAAAGTCCCCCCCGCTTTCGTGCGCGATGGGTGCAGTGAGCCTAGAGTCGGGCCGAGGGGGACCTGCCCCAGTAGAACGGTTGCATTTCTCGAGTCGTTGGGCAGCCATGGGACCGGTGGCCCTGGGTCCCGTCTTGGCTTCGGCAAGGCGGGGCTAGATGGCATCCAGTAGGGCCTCTAAGATGACACAAGATGGCCTATTATGATCTCCGCAATGCCTCCAAGAGGCTTCCAGACCGCCACAAAACGGCCCGAGCTGGCCACGGAGCCTTCCAAGGATGTCCCCAAGAGGTCAGAGAAATTGTTTTTCCCAGCCATCCTGTGGTGTTGGGTACTTGTTGCGAATCCGCAGCGCCCCGCGTCTCCTTCCTCCTCGCCCTCCCTCCTCCCATCCCTGTCTCAGCCTTCCGCATGTTCATTCCCCACATGTTTTGTGGGGTTCTGGTTTTCTTCCCTGCCGCGTCGCACCCGCGTCTCACACCCGCACACACCTCCCTCTCCCGCAAAGCGTGGCAGACGTGACATACATACATGCATACACAGGCACACCGACACATACACCTGCACGGCACGTACATGAGACACGCGTAGCACACTGCACAACACAGCGCAGCGCAGCACAACACAGCGCTTGTCAGCACAGCTCAGCTCGGCACAGCACAGCACAGCACAGCTCAGCACAGCTCAGCACAGCAGAGCAGAGCGCACACGACACGACATACACAACACGCACGTTTAGGATGCGCAGGGCACGGCAGGCATGGCACTTTCTCGACACCAGAGGGAGTGCGTTGGTGGTGGTCCCTGAGCGCGGTGTTTGACACCATAGGGGGTGCGCAGGAGGTGGTCCCTGAGCGCGGCCGCTATCCGAGCCGGTCGTCCAAGATATAGCAGGAGTGGCACTTTCCCGACACTGTGGGGGTGCGCAGGGGGTGGTCCCTGAGCGCGGCCGCTATCCGAGCCGCATTTTGCTCATTATTCACTCCCATCCCTCCTCTGTGTTGGACCCTCGTTTCGAATTCGCAGCGCCGCGCGTCCTCCTCTCCCCCACCTTCTCCCTCCTCTCCTTGCTTGGCCTTCCGCATGTCCATGTCGGCGCTCCCCTCACACGTTTCGTGGCCGCACAGGGAGCCCCGCCGAAGGCCCAAGAGGCACGGTCCACAGGATTACCAGTTACCGGTCCCCTTTTGGCACACCCCTCGCTCGTTTCGTGGCCCCACAGGGAGCCCCACCGACGGCCACAGTGGCAGGGTCCGCATGGCTATCCGCTCCATTCGGCGCACCCCTCGCACTTCTCGTGACCCCATCGGGAGCTCCACCGACGGCTTCAGTGGCGGGGTCTGCATGATTACTCGTCCGATTTCGGCGCACCCCTCACGGGGAGCCCCCGCGGGGGGTGGGGGTGTGGGGGTGCGCCCCCTTGCCCATTTCGGCGCATTCCTGACACGTTTCATGGCATTGCCGTCCCCGCACCCACTTCGGCACACCCAGCACACGTTCTGTGGCCCCATGAGGACTCCACCGAAGGCCCCATTGGGAGCGGCAAGCCCCAGTGGGAGCGTTCGTGCGTCGCCCCGTACCGATGTCGGCACACCTCTTACACGTTTCGTGGCCCCATCGGGAGTTCCACCGAAGGCCGCAGTGGCATGGTCCGCAGGATTACCAGCCCCAGTTGGGCGCACCCGTCGCATGTCCAGAGGCAGGGTCCGCCCCCCTTTCTATGCATCTAGCACGCGTTGCGTGCCCCCAAAGGGAGCTCCGCCGAACGGCCCAGTGGCAGGGTTCGCATGTCGCCTCGGGTGCATTTTTGCATACTTCTCGCGCGCTTTGTGACCCAGCAGGGAGCTCCACCGGAGGCCCCGGTGGCAGGGTTCGCATGCCGCCTCGGGTCGATTTCGGCGCACCCCTCACACGTCTCGTGGCCTCCTAGGGAGCTCCACCGAATGCTCCAGAGCAGGGTTCGCATGTCGCCTCTGGTGCAGTGGGGCGCTACCGTTCTCTTGCGATGCTTTTAGAGGCACCGCGGACCCACCAACGAGTTGTTGTGTGTTGAGCGGTCCTGTTGATAGTTCCCACGCGCTTAGAAAGGGCTTGATTCTTGGCCAGGGTAATTCCCATCCGTCCTGTGGTGTTGGGTCCTCGTTTTGCATCCGCAGCGCACCGCGTCTATCCCTGCCTCAGCCGTCCGCATGTCCATTTTGACACACCCCTCGCATGCTTCGTAGCCCCACAGGGAGCCCCACAGAAGCTCCCAGGGTGGTGGGGGTCGCACAGCGTCCCTAGCCCATTTCGGTACACCTCTCACATGTTTCGTGGCCGCACAGGAAGCTCCTCCGGAGCCCCCGCGGGGGGGCGTACAGCGCCCCCGTCGCCCATGTCGCCACACCACTCACAGCTCTCGTGGCCTCACAGGGAGCCCCATCGAAGCCCTCACGAGTGGGGGGGGATGACGCATGGTGCCCCCGCACCCATGCCGGCACACCCTCACACGTTTTGTGACCCCATCTGGGGTCTTCACTGAAGGCCCCAGGGGGAGCGGCAAGTCCCAGTGGGAGCGTTCGCATGCCGACCGTACCCATGTCGGCACACCCATCACACGTTTTGTGGCCCCATCTGGGGGCTCCACCGAAGGCCCCAACCGCGCATATCTCGGCGCACCCCTCACACGTTTGGTGGCCCCATGGGGAGCTCCACCGAGGGCCCCAGTGGGAGCGTTCGCATGCTGGCCCGCATCGACGTCAGTACACCCGCCACACGTTGTGTGGCCCCATAGGGAGCTCCACCGAAGGCCGAAGGCCCCAGCGGAGTGGGAGCGGCAAGCCCCAGTGGGAGCGTTCGTATGCCGGCCCGCATCGATGTTGGCACACTCCTCAAACGTTTCATGCCTCCACGTAGAGCTTCATCGAAGGCCCCAGTGGGAGCGTTCGCATGCCGCCCCGTACCCATTTCGGCACACCCCTGACACGTTGCGTGGCCCCACCGGGAGTTCCACCGAAGGCCCCAGTGGGAGCGTTCGCATGCCGCCCCGCGCAAATCTCGGCGCACCCCTCACACGTTTCGTGGCCCCATAGGGAGCATTCGCCTGCCGGCTCGCATCGATGTCGGTACACCCGCCACACGTTAATGTGGCCGCGGCCCATAGGGAGCTCCACCGAATGCCCCAGAGGCGACGTTCGCATGCCGCATCGTACAAATCTCGGCGAACCTTTCACAGGTTTCGTGCCCCCAAGACGATCATCACAACTGCGTTTCTCTCAATGGCGCATGGTCGGGGCTTTCACCATAATTAGTTTCTGAGTTTTTGGCTTCGATTTGGATTTGTCGATTTGGTTCGTATGTGCGAACCACTCTCTTCGCGAGGCTCGGCGAGGGGAAGACTTGAGGCGTGGGGTAGAGGGAGGTCTGAACCCCTCCCCGACGGGGAAGCTGGGCTTTTGGAATGCCTGGTCCGCTAAGCCATGACGCCTAGGGGACTCGTGGGAGTAGCTGATTGACATCTGATTCTATCTGTCCGATTCGCCAAGCTCTGAGTTGTTGTCTTCGTCCAGGGATCAAGTCTGTCCGGGTGCCCCCTGCGGGGGTCTTGCTCGTTCCGCGTTGCCATGGTGACGTAGAAGGCTTTGTTGTCTGCATCTTCTTCTTTCCTGCTGCGCCGAGGAACCCGTCGCGTCAGCGCGAGCGCCCGTGACGCAGCGTGGCCACTCGCCCAGACCTCTGCGTGCTGTAGTTCAGATAGGATAGCCAAGTGACAGCGGTGGCGTGCACAGCGTGCGGCAGGGGCAGAAGTGGCAATTTCGACCCCCAAGAGGCGGAAGAGGCTGCGGAGGGTGAGGAAGAAGACGCAGAGGAGTCGTCCTGCCTCGTCTCTCTTTCCTACTAATTTGTTGTTTCGTTGCCGACTAGTCGTATGGGGAGCGGCGTGTCGATGTGGCATTCGGTTTCGAGAGTGTGTCGTGGTAGAGAAGCTGTACAGTGAAAGGGTGTAGTGGGGATCCCAGATTAAGCTTCACTTGGATTTCGAATGCTATCTTTGAGGGCATTTGGAGTCGCAATGAAAACGAGCAGCCCCAGACGGCAAAGCGAATCTCCGAATGTGCTCCAAGGAGACATGGAACTTTGCAGGGCTATGAGGCTCCTTATCCAGGGCGGCACAGTGATTGGATGCTTGGCTTCGGTCACGGGTAGTAGGAAGCACTTTGCGGTCACGGTCCTGTATACACATCGGGCATCGCTCGCTCGCTCCATGTGGCCGCGACGCTGCATTTTGGGTGCGTGCAGGATGTGTTTGGGTGGTCTTAATACACTCGCATCCATTTGGCACCCCGGTACATGGATATTTGCTTTGAATATGCATGTGCCACATGATGTGCAGATCACGCAATTTTCGGCAACACCCCAACATACTTATACTATATGTGCGTCGCCCCCCCAGGGGCGACGCGCGCACCGAGAAATCTTATAGTATATGCGTCGTGGCGGGCGCTTTCTGGCCACACCGCTCGGGAAACGATATACTACAAGATGGGTATACTATATGTTCGGGTCGGACGCGCGCCTCCAAGGAGGACATATAGTATTAGTATGTCCATGTGCGTCCCAAATTTGGCTACGGGGTGAACCGTGTTTTTCTGCGCGAGGGCGTGCGACTTGTGGTGAAAGCTCGTGATGCGCACGCAGGTGGACCGCCTCCCGTCGCGAGGGGGCGCGCGCCCCCGCGCCCGGCGAGGACGAGACGGAGGCACCGGCGGTGTCCAAGAAGCCAGCCGCGGCAGCGAAGCTGCCCATCCGGAAGAGCATCTCGAAGGCGACCCTTTCGACCTGTGACTCTCGGGGCTGTCCGACCGCCAACACACGAGGCGTTCCAGAGAGGTCCGCGCCCTCGAGGGTCGCGGGAGCTGCCAACCCCTTCCTCGGCGGAAAGGGGCGGCGGAAGGGCGGCGGAAGCAAAACGAGGCTATCTCCGGCGGCGGAACCCAGCGGAAGGCGGGCGGAAGCCGGCGGCAGTGAAAGATGCACTCCCAAGATATGGCACGTTTTTCCCAACCCTCCTGTGTGTTGGGTCCTCGTTGTGAATCCGTAGCGCCGCGCGTCTCCTCCTCCTCCTCCTCCTCCTCCTCCTCCTCCTCCTCCTCCTCCTCCTCCTCCTCCTCCCCCTCCTCGTCCTCCTCCCCCTCCTCCCCTTCCCTGTACTTTCTCATCCTCCTCGTCTTCACATGTTTCGTGGCCCAATAGGGAGCTCCACTGCAGGGCCCAGCAGCTGCATCCGCATGCGGCCATACAGACGCAGCCATTAGTAATGGCTGCGTCTGTATGCGGCCCCGCCCCATTTCGGCAGCCCCCTTTGCACGTTTCGTGGGCCCACAGGGAGCCATACGGAGAGCCTCAGTGGCTGCGGCCGCAGACGTGGAGCGGTCCAGTTTGTAGCCGCCACCCGTTTGCAAAGGATTGGGGCTTTCACTAGGTTGATTTTGGTCGAGTTTTTTTTTTTGCACCCGCCATATGCAGTGCGTGCCAGTGGAGGAGGGCGTCTGGTGTCTGAGCCCACGACGGGCAGATTGAGGGGACGCTGGGCCTTTGACTTGACCGAGTGTGTTGGACTCCTTGTCTGTGACTTACGTTCGTGCAAGCTGCAAGCTGGCGCCGTTTCAATTGTTCCCAGCCGTCCTCTGTTGTTCCCAACCGTCCTTTGTGATTGGGCCATCGTTTTGGGTCTGCAGCGTCCCGCGTCACCTCTTCCCGCTGCCCCCTCCCTTGCTCCTCTCCTAGCCTCTGCTTTCCGCATCTCCCCTTTTCCTCACGCGTTCCCTCACACGTTTTGTGGCCCCATGAGGAGCTCCACCGAAGGTTCCAGCGGCAGGGTTCGCCTGCGGCTCCGCGCCCATTTCGCCACACGTCACACGCTTCGTGGCCCCGTAGGAATCTCATCAGACGGCCTCAGTGGCAGGGTCCGCATGCGTTTTCGTCCAAATTTCGGCAGACCCCTGGCACGTCTCGTGGCCCCACAGTAGCTCCACCAGAGGTTCCCGTGGCAGGGTCCGCATGCGGTTCTATGCCTATTTCGGCAGACCACTCGCACGTCGTTTCGCGGACCCATGGGGAGCTACGCGATAGACCCCAGTGGCAGGGTCAGCATGCGGTTCCGCGCCCGATTCGGCACACACCTCACACGTTTGGTGGCCCCATCGGGAGACCCGCCTCCTTCGCCCCACCTGTCTTGCGGGGGAGAAGGGTTAATTCCCAAACATCATGTGGTGTTGGGTCCTCGCTCTGAAGAGACAGCGCCCCGCGTTCGTCCTTCTCCTTCTCCTCCTTCTACCCTCCATGTCCACCATTTCAGCGCAGCCAGTCCAGCGTTTCGTAGCCCATAGGGAGCTCCACCGAAGGTCCCAGTGGCTGTGATCTCGTGCGTCCGCGCCTCCCATTACAGCGTTTCGTGGCCCCATTAGGGGCTCCATCGAGTGCCCCAGTGGCTGTGATCATATGCGTCCGCGCCACCCAGCACAACGCTTCGTGGGCCCATGGGAAGCTCCACCGAAGGCCCTGGTGGCTGTGACCACATGCGTGTGCGCCACCCAGTACAGCGCTTCGTGGCCCCGTAGGGAGCCCCTCGAAAGGCACCGGTGCTTGTGATCACATGCGTCCACGCCACCCAGTGCAGCGTTTCGTGGACCGAGAGGGAGCTCCACCGACGGCCCCAGTGGCTGTGATCATATGCGTCCGCGCTACCAAGTAGTGCGTTTCGTGGCCCCATAGGGAGCTCTACCGACGGCCCCAGTGGCTGTGATCATATGCGTCCGCGCCACCCAGTACAGCGTTTCGTGGCCCCATATGGGGGCTCCACCGACGGCCCCAGTGGCTGTGATCACTTGCGTCCGCGCCATCCGGTACAGCGTTTCGTGGCCCCATAGGGAGCTCCACCGACGGCCCCAGTGGCTGTGATCACATGCGTCCGCGACACCCATTACAGCGTTTCGTGGCCCGAGAGGGAGCTCCACCGACGGCCCACGTGGCTGTGATCACATGCTTCCGCGCCACCTAGTGCAGCGTTCGTGGCCCCATAGGGAGCTCCACCGCCGGCCCCGTGGCGGTGCCCACATGCGTCCGCGCCACCCACTGCAGCACCCCCCTTCGCACGTTTCGTGACCCCATAGGGAACTCCACCGAACGCCCCCGTGGCTGTGATCACATGCGTCCGCGCCACCCAGTACAACGCTTCGTGGCCCCGTAGGGCGCTCCACCGAAGGCCCCAGTGACTGCGATCACATGCGTCCGCGCCACCCGGTACAGCGTTTCGTGGCACCATAGGGTGCTCCACCGAGGGCCCCAGTGGCTATGCCCACATGCGTCCGCGCCACCCACTGCGGCACCCCTCGTCGCACGTTTCGTGACCCCATAAGGGGGCTCCACCGAACGCCCCCGTGGCGGTGATCACATGCTTCCGCGCCACCCATTACAGTGTTTCGTGGCCTGCCCCATCAGGAATTCCACGGCTTGCCCCAGATGCGCAGTCCACATGCGCCCACCCCGCCCTCCGCATGTCTATATCGGCATATCTGTCAAACGTTTCGTGGCCCCATAAGGAACTCCGCCGACGCAGATGCAAAGTCCACATGCGCCCACACTGCCCTCCGCATGTCCATGTCGGCACAAACCTCAAACATGTCGTGGCCCCGTCGAGAGCTGGGCCGATTGCCTCAGAGGCAAAGTTCAAGGCGCCCACCCCGCCCACCGCATGTCCATGTCGGCCCCCCCCCTCACACAGTTCGTGACCCCATCGGGGGCTCCACCGACGGCCCCAGTATTCCCGCCCACCGCATGTCCATGTCAACGCACCCCTCACACAATTCGTGGTCCCATGGGAGCTGGGCCGAAGGCCCCAAAGGCAACGTCCACATGCGCCCGCCCCCCCGCCCACGAGGATCTCCTGCTCATGCGGGCTCCGCGCATCGAATTCTTCCTGGCAGGGCTGCCGGAGGGCTTGCGGAAGCAGCTGGGGCAGTTTGCGGCGCGCACGAAGCGGTGCAGGAGGGAGGCGACGGCCCTCGCTAGGGAGCTAGGCTTCCCCGAGTTTATCCACGAGGCCTGACCTGGGGAGCTGGCCCGCCCGAGCAGCGCCTTCTCGCGATTGTCCAACCGTTTGGCCTCGCGCCGCGGGTGACCCGCGCTCGTCGCTGGAATCCTCTCGGGGCGACTAGCGCGTGTCGCGGGAACTCCGTGCTGCGCTTTGCACAGCGCCTCGCTCGCCCGTCGTCGCTCTGCCCACGGAGCTTTGCCCGCTACCAGCCAGCCAGCGAGCTGTCTTTGCCCCGCGCAGCGTACGACCCGCGCGCGTCGCTGGGATCCCTTCGGGGCGACCGGAGCGCGTCGCGGGGACTCCGCGGTGCGCTGCGCCCGCAGCCTTGGACTTTGGAGTGCGCGGGCAAAGGGGGAGAAAAAAAGGGAAGGGCCATCTCGGACGGTCTAGCTTACCTCGTGCCCCCCTCGAACAGATCGCGGACAGAGGAAGCCGCGCCGAATGCCTTATAGGATATAGGAAGCTCCGCCGACGGCCCCAGAGGCAGTGCCCGCGTGCCGCCGCCGTCCCACTTTGGCGCACGCCTCGCGCGTTTCGTGCCCCCCATGAGGAGCTCGACCGAACATGGTGCTCGCGACTGCGGTGCTCGCAGCTGCATATGGTTGGGTCCTTCGCCAGGCTATTTTTCCATTCCGTTTGCCACGTGGCGACGCCTTGGCGGACAACAAAATATCACTCCACCCTACTCGTCACGTGGCAGCGCCGCGGGGGCTGAGGGAAATTCTATTCCAGTCTATTCGCCGCGTGGCGCCGCCTGGCGGGGGCAAAAACACATGGTATTCCATTGCGTTCGTCACGTGGCAACGCCGCTGAGGGCCGAACAAAAGATTCGCCCATTCCAATTGCCACGTGGCAGCGCCTGGAGGCGCGAAGAAACAGTATTCTGTCCGATCTATCACGTGGCAGCGCTGCGGGGGCCGAAAGAAACAATCATTCCACTCGATTCGTCGCGTGGCAGCGTTGCGGGGGCCGACAATAATACTATGCCACGCCAGTCGCCATGTGGCAACGCCTGTAAACGCAAATAACTGTTGTCCCATTCTGATCATCGACGACGGCGGGAGCGAAGACGGCGATGATGACGACGACGATGGCGAGGGCCATGGAGGCGAACAATCATTCCACCCTATCTATCCTCCTCCTCGTCCCTCTCTCTCCCTCCCCCTCCCTCTTCCCTCCTCCATCCTCTCTCCTCCCTTTCTCCCCGTTCCTTCCTCGTCCCCCTCTTCTCTTTCCCCCTATTCACTCCTCACTCTTCCTCCCTCCCCTCCTCTCTACCTTCCTTCCTTTTACTCGCTCCTCTCTTCCCCCTTCACCCGCATGTTGTTACAATGCAATGTACTACGCATCCGATACAAATTCAACGCACTGCAACGCGATGCAACGCAACAGGACCGTTGGTTTGCAGGTTGGTTGGCTGGTGGCTGGACGGTCGGTCGGTTGGTTGGTTAGTTGGGTGGTTGGCCACCACGTGGCAACGCTTGGGCAGGTGACAGAATACTATTCCACTCTGCTCGTCACGGGGCAGCGCCGCCGGGGCCGGAACATATACGATTCCGTTCTTATTCGCCACGTGGCAACCTTTGGAGGGGGACCGTCGTGAGCCTGGCGAAAGGCCGAACAATATGCAGTGTTGAGAGCCGCAGCTGTCGGAGGTGAGGGGGTGAGATCGAAGTGGAACGGAGAGCCCCCCTACCGGGAAATCGATTTCGGTTTCGTGTTCGTGCGTG